GAAAAATTTCTTTACTGAAAGAGTAGTTAAACATTGGAAGAGGCTGCCCAGGGAAGTGGTTGAGTCCCCATCCCTGGAGGGATTTAAAAGACATGCAGATGAGGCGCTTAGGGATGTGGTTTAGTGGGCATGGTGGTGTTGGGTTGACGGTTGGACTCGATGATCTTAGAGGTCTTTTCCAACCTTAATGATTCTATGATTCTAGCTTAATTAAGTTCCTTGATGCTTATTTCTTGTTTTTATAACCCTAAATAATTTTGTGCCAGAGCTACAGATACTGCCTCCTCCCTCCCCTCCTCCTCCCTTTTTCCAAATCATTAAGAAAACTCAAACTTTTTGTCCCTTTCCTCATCTGAGACAGAAAACAGGTTTCTGATCCACAGTAATGCCTCCCCTGTCACCCCATGACTATATAGTTCCCATAACAGCATTTTGCGACAGACCTTGTCAAATTGAGATGAAAAACAAGTAATTGTGTGTACTGACCCTACTGTACCCATTCTTCTACTGGTACATTAAAAAAATTCTAAAAGAAATTTCCCACCATTGCTGACAGCATAAGGGCAGGCTAAATCAGAAATACATAAGCAGCATAAGCAGCCAGCATTTTTACTCTCAACATACTAAAAATTTCAACTGCTTTCTTGAGGTTAACCCTAACCTAGGTGTCACTGGTGTATGATCATTCTCCCACACACAAATATATAAAAAAGCTGATATAGCTTGGCTCTGAAAGCTTTGTTTCACTTTGTATAATCAAAGTACTATACAAATACTCAACAAAAAGTTGAGCACCATCAGGAGAGAACAGCAGCGTGCCATGAACAAGAACAGGCTTCCCAAGAGGAATTTAGAGGAGACCAGATTTGTCTATCCTAAAATGTGACTAATACAGCAGAAGTAGGATTCTGAATCATATTAAGAAAAAAAAACCTACAAGATGGGATCTCAACCTTCTTTCTTAATGTTAAAACCAATGAACTACATGTAAAAGACAGAATGAGTAAAGGATTACGTGATTCTGCTGTTTGAATATCTGTAGATTAGCACTGAACACAGGTTTGAAAACTTGTGCCTTAGGGGTTCTTAAAGATCTGCGTACAGAAGTATACCACTACCCTAACCTCTTTTCTACCTACTAGAAAAATGCTAAGAAATAGTCAAAATGAGGAAGATACACATCGCTGGTTAAAAGCACTGGGCATTAGATTTCTCTGAAAGAAAACCCTTCCAGAATGTGGGGCCAGTTGGACACAGGAGTGCCGCTTACCAAACCATCTTTGAGGATTTGTCCCACGGAAATATGTACATTGCCTTGCTCAGCTCCATTTGCAGGAGCTGACAAAATTGTATCTGCAGAACATAACCACATCAGGGAGAAGATGTGACATGACTGGAGAAGAGGCTGAGAGATGTAAATGTTTTAAAGAGTTACAAAAAATTGCAGAAGAGATAAAGTTACAAGATGTTATATAAATATCTTTATTTCAGATGTTATATACACCTCAATACTGTATACCTCTTCATTTCTCTTTTGATTCAAGAGTACACTAAGCTGGTAAAACGTACTGCACCTAGAAGCACCACTTTAAGTGGTCCCGGCTGGTGGCAGGACCACTTCGTATGACATCTTGCCACAAGATGTTTATATAACAGTCTTGTACATATAGGCAAATGTCATATTAAAAAACCATACAACACTTCTCTGCATTTGCAGGTATCAGGGCACCAACCAGGACCACTTCAAGTGATGCCTCTACACGCAACACATTTTATCAGCTTACTGTATTCTTGAATGGATTTAACAACATAGGTAAACCTTGCCTCATATACCAACGAACACAGACTATACTGATTGTTGTATTATGGTATCACCTAGAGGCCAAATGAAGAATAAGGCCCACTGTTAAGCGACACACAATGAAACGAGCCCGACTTCAGAAGCGTGCATAGAACCTAAGTTTTCTTACCTTCCTCAACTACACAGCGAATAGGGCAGCAAGATCCTTCGATTCGTTTTTGTACGCTACCACCCTTGTTAGCATAAACACGTACCTCAGCTACAGCCGCTGCCCTCAAGGGAGAAAGGAACGGGCGAAGAGCCGGTGCTCCCGCCCGAGGGCAGCGAGTCGCCCCCGGGGAAAAGGCCCTGCACCCTGGGCCGGGAGAGGCTCACAGGGTCCCCGACCCCTTCCAGCACCGCCCCGGGCCCACCTCCCCGCCGCCGGAGGGAAGCGCCTCAGCGCCACGTTGCCTCATGGGGCAGCGGCAGGCAGGGCCCCGACCCCCCGCGCTGCGTTGCGGGACCGGGGGAAGG